TAAGAGTTCTGTTTATTTACTTGTTTTTTTTATTTTTACATACTAGTAGGATTGTATAGTATTTATCTTTCTCTGTCTGATTTATTTCACTTAGCATAATGCCCTCAAGGGCCATTCATGTTTTTGCAAATGGCAGGATTTTCTTGTTTTTCTTTTTGTAGCTGAATAATATTCCATTGTGTGTAAATATATATATACATGTGTGTGTGTGTGTGTATATATATATATATATATATATATATATATATACCACATTTTCTTTATTCATCTGTTGTTGAACTCTTAGGTTGTTTCCATGTCTTGGCTATTGTAAATAATGCTGCAATGAACATGGGGGAGGGGGAGCATATATCTTTTCAAGATAGCAATTTTATTTCCTTTGGATAAATACCTAGAAGAGGAATTGCTGGATCATATGATGGTTCTATTTTTAAGTTTTGGAAGAGCTTCCATATTATTCCCCATAGTGACTGCACCAATTTACATTCCCACCAATACAGCACAAAGGTTCCCTTTTCTCCACATTCCCATCAATACTTGTTATCTATTGTCTTTTTTGATGATAGCCATTCTATCATGTGTGAGGTGATCTCTCATTGTGATTTTGATTTGCATTTTCCTGATGATGAATTACGTTGAATATCTTTTCATGTACCTGTTGGTCACTGGCATATAGTCTTTGGGAAAATGTCTCTGTAGTTCCTCCACCCATTTTTTAAACAAAATTTTTTTCTATTGAGTTTTATACATCTTTCATATATTTTAAATATTAACTCTACAAGATATATCATTTGCAAATATTTTCACCCATTCTGCAGGTTGCCTTTTTTATTTTGTTGATGGTTTCCTTTGATGTACGGAACATTTGTTATGTAGCCCACTTGTTTAGTTTTGCCTTTGTTGCCTTTGATTTTGGTTTCAAAGCAAAAAATCATCATTACTATCAACGTAAAGGAGCTTGCCCCCGATGTTTTCTTCTAGGGGTTTTATGGCGTCAGGTCTTACATTCAAGGCTTTAATTCATTTTAGTTGATTGTTGGGTATGGGTAAGATAGGGTTCCAGTTTCATTTTTTTGAATGGGGGCTGTCCAGTTTTCCCAGCACATTTTTAAAGAGACTATCCTTTCCCCATTGCATATTCTTGGCTGAAAAGTTGTAGTTAACGACAGTATTTTGGTTTGATCACAAGAGAGAAAACAGCTTGTAGACTGTAGCCTTCATTCCCTTGTGCAGGAAAGTTTACACACTTTGAAAGAATGAGGACTACTCTCTTGAGAAGTATTCTGGTTTGAACTGAATCCCCCTCACCCCCCAATCTCATATGTTGAATTCTAACCCCCGGTACCTTACAAAATGACCTTATTCAGAAATAGGGTCATTGCAGATACAATTAGTTAAAATGAGATAATACTAAACTAAGCTGGAACCCTACTGCAATATGACTGCTGTCCTTATAAGAAGGAAAATTTGGACACATATGCATACACAGAGAATGCCATGTCAAGATGAAGACAGAGATTAGGGTGATGCCAGCAGTACATATATATATTCACACACACATAATACACACACTTATGTACACAGCGTGTCCCAAAAAATGTATACACACTTTAACAGCTGATAGCTCAATTTTGAAAATGGAATGTATTTTAATAAACACTGCCTTTACAATTATTCAAAGTGCATGTGTACATTTTGTTGGGACACCCTATATACAGACACAGTTTAAAGTAGCAAGAAATTCTAGTAAAACTTTGCTGGTAAATACTGACCTGGCATAGCTGCATTTTTGTTAATTCTCCAACAGAGGATATTTTTTCCATTGCTTTTTAGAAAGAGTGGAAGGGAGAGAGGGAGGGAGGGAGAGGAGAAAAGCGGTGGTGGGGGGGAGGAAGAAAGAGACAGAGAGAGAGAAAAAGAGACATTGATGTGGGAGAGACACATCAATTGGTTGCTTCCCGCATGCACCCCAACCAGGGCTGGGGATGGAATCTATAATCCATGTATATGCCCTTGACTGGGAATCAAACCCGAGACCCCTCGGTGCAGGGGGGCTGAGGCTCTAATCACTTAGAAACACCAGCCAGGGCAGCATTTTCTTTATTAATTATCATTTCTCCACTCACAAGGCTTACAGGTTTTCTCATATTTGCTAATCAAGAGTTGGAGGCAGTGCTAAATTGCACTTATTATGAAATCTTATTTCATGGATTTATTTTTAAAATACAATGAGAATAAATTTAGCCTGGGCTGACCAAATAAACCAACCCACAAAAAAAATTAAAGTCCAGAGAAACCAAGATGGCGGCATAGGTAAACACTGGAGATTGCTGCCTCGCACAACCACTTCAAAAATACAACTAAAAGACGGAATGGACATCACCCAGAACCACAGGAAGGCTGGCTGAGTGGAAATTCTACAACTAGAAGGAAAGAGAAAAGCATACCAAGACTCAGAGGAGGTACGGTGCGGAAGTAAAATACTAAGGTGTGGAGGTGCATGCGGAGCGGGCTGGCGGCTGAGGGCGCGGTTGTCTTTTTCAATCGGGAGAAAGTCTCAGGCTCTGAGGTCCTGTTCCGGGCGAGTCTCTGGGGACCCAGACTCAAATGGGAGAAGCGGGACTGTCTGGCATTGGTCGGAACTCGAGGGCAGCTTTCTCTCGGAGGTACTTGCAGCAATTACTGGGACACTGAGAAGCAGAGCCTCTGAAGGCAGGACTGAGAGCAGCCATAACTGCTCGCTCCGCCCGCCCTGTTGATCCCCTGGGACCCGCCCCGCCCAATCCTTGCAGGGAGGCATTTGCTGGATAGCCTCAGGCAGAGGCTAGATTAGCACCTCCCTAGAGATCAGGACAGAAGTTCTCCCAGGGCAGACACAGCTGATTCTCACAGCCAATTGGCCTGGAGGTCAAATCCCCCCCAGTGTTACCTACAACAATCAAGGCTTAACTACAACAAGACTGTGCACAAAGACCACAAGGGGGTGCACCAAGAAAGCATAAAAAATGCTGAGACAAAGGAACAGGACACAAACGACAGAAATGGAGGAAAGCAAACTGCTGGATATAGAGTTCAAAACCACACTTTTAAGGTCTTTAAAGAACTGTCTAGAAGCCACCGATAAATTTAGTAAGGCCCTCAAAAAGACTGGTGAGACTGCCGATAAATGTAGTGAGATCCTCAAGAAATCTAGTGAGACCCTCGATATTGTGATAAAGGACCAACTAGAAATTAAGCATACACTGACTGAAATAAATATTATACAGACTCCCAACAGCAGACCAGAGGATCGCAAGAATCAAGTCAAAGATTTGAAATACGAAGAAGCAAAAAACACCCAACTGGAAAAGCAAAATGAAAAATGAATCCGAAAATATGAAGATAGTGTAAGGAGCCTCTGGGACAGCTTCAAGTGTACCAACATCAGAATTATAGGGGTGCCAGAAGAAGAGAGAGAGCAAGATATTGAAAACCTATTTGAAGAAATAATGACAGAAAACTTCCCCTACCTGGTGAAAGAAATAGACTTTCAAGTCCAGGAAGCGCAGAGAACCCCAAACAAAAGGAATCCAAAGAGGGCCACACCAAGACACATCATAATTTAAATGCCAAGAGCAAAAGACAAAGAGAGACTCTTAAAAGCAGCAAGAGAAAGAAAGTCAGTTACATACAAGGGAGTACCCATACGACTGTCAGCTGATTTCTCAACAGAAACTTTGCAGGCCAGAAGGGAGTGGCAAGAAATATTCAAAGTGATGAATGCCAAGAACCTACAACCAAGATTACTTTATCCAGCAAAGCTATCATTCAGAAGTGAAGGTCAGATAAAGAGCTTCACAGATAAGAAAAAGCTAAAGGAGTTCATCACCACCAAACCAGTATTATATGAAATGCTGAAAGGTATCCTGTAAGAAGAGGAAGAAGAAGAAAAAGGTAAAGATACAAATTATGAACAACAAATACACATCTATCAACAAGTGAATCTAAAAATCAAGGGAATACATAATCTGATGAACAGAATGAACTGGTGATTATAATAGAATCAGGGGCATAGAAAGGGAATGGACTGACTATTCTTGGGGGGGAAAGGGGTGTAGGGGATGCGGGAAGAGACTGGACAAAAATCGCGCACCTATGAATGAGGACGGTGGGTGGGGAGTAAGGGCGGAGGGTGGGTTGGGAACTGGGTGGAGGGGAGTTGTGGGGGGAAAAAAGAGGAACAAATGTAATAATCTGAACAATAAAGATTTAATTTAAAAAAATTAGAGTCCAAATGCACCTCAAAGATCAACTAGAATTTATTTATGTAATCCTGGGCAAATTACTTAAACGTCTCTTGGTCTCTGTTTGCTCACCTATAAAACTGGAGGGTGAGTCAAAACAACTTCTAGAATTTCTTCTAAATATAACACTAGATGATTGGACTTTCTAAACCCTAAAGTTTCACTAAGATTCTGTCTGCATCTCTGCTATTCCATACACTAAAAAGGTGTTATCTTGAATAAGGAAAAATACTGTGCTGAATAAACCATCCACAGTGCAGCTGGCCATCATAAGAAATCAAAGTCCATAGACACTCCTCCAACACACACACACACACACACACACACACACACACACACATACTCAACATTATTACAGTGCCAGTGTTAGCCAAATTTCCACCATTGGAGTTTCATGTCAAATCTGAATGTCACCTTTATTTTCATTCACTTAGAAGTGGAATTTGTTAGCTCACTTTTTAAAAAGTAGCCACACTCTAATCATAAGCATGATTGTCCTAGTTTTATGCATTTTTTCTAATAAAATTCAAATAAAAACAGTCCCTAAATAAAATAAAATTCCACCAACTATCTAGAATTGTGTTGTATACCCTCAGTGGTATGCATATTAAACTGAAAAATACTAGAGTAGCTTATGAAAAGAAGATTATACACACTGGTCTAGAATGTAAGATTTTGATTTTAAAGAAAACTACTAAAGTATTATTTCCATTGCATTTATTATGATAAAAAAAATCATCAACTGCTAAATCAATTATTCTTTCATTAGTCAGAGAATCTGATTTCATAAATTATTATGAAAATGGGAGTATAGGACCACCGGTTGATGGGTAGAGTTCTTGTTTGGCATATGAATTAGCATAAATCCCACTCACGTCATGCCAAGTGTTGATGCCAAATCTTTTGGAGCCATTTAGATCTGAGAACTGAGAACGGCATTTTCTGTGGACTATTGAATAATCATCTTGACAAGGATAATCCTAAAGGAGGGGGGAGGAAAGAAAAGTGATATTGAATAACTGAAATATGTAAAAAGGAGTGATGTCTAAAAGCTAATCTTTAGTATGTTAGTCTTACTATGAACAAAGGTGAATTTTCAAACAATTGATTAATTTAACTTCTCAAATTATAAATACCTCAATGAGAAAAAAAGGCTATTGCATTTATAAGTACTTATAATTCTGAAAGAAGAAATTAGTTCATGGTTGTTTTATGAAACTAAAAATAAATTATTATACATTTAAAATTGTTCTAACCCATACATTTACAGATAAAATTTTATGATTATCTATGTAAGACCCAAACAATTACAATTTATCTACCATTCAACATCTTTTTAAAATTAATGTGTTACAATTATTCCAAAGAATAATACCTTGGGCTATATCTTTAATAACTGCTATCCAGTCACACTTGCCAGTAAATGCCAAGTTCAAAGATTCATTCCTATGAGAAATTTACCTCAGCATAATTCAGTATAATGTTTAAGGTATTTACCCTTAGAGCATATCATAAAAGCTTCTATTATCTATATATATAAAAGCCCAGAGACCAGAACGGCACTGACCAGAACAACCAGAACAACTGGTGACTACGACACACACTGTGGCAGCCTACCAGCCTGATCCAGGCCCCAACTGGCTCCATCCCCATCTGGTTCAGCCCCTGATCGGCCCCCAACACCCCGATCAGGGCAGGGCTGGCTGGCCAACTGCCTGCGGCCCCTCACCCACATTGGCCCAGCCCAATGGGCCCCCATCAGGACGGGCCAACTAGACCCCACCCGTGCACAAATTCATGCACCAGGCCTCTAGTAAGAAATAAGACACTATCATGGACCATTTCCCAAAGGAAATAATGATTCTTTTAGATTACCATCAAGGGTAATGATAGATAAGGAACATAAAGCCCTTGAACTGATTATATAATTTCTCCCTTTAATTGGTACAAATTTTAAAGTACTAGAACAATATTAAAATTAAATCACCAAAATCTATAAAAAATGAAAGAACAGCTAAACATAGTTCAAATCTTAGATTGGCTTTATTGAAAATAATTGAAAACTTTAACCAGATGTTCAACCATAACCATCATTATTGTGTCTATTTATTTTCTGAGTGCCATGGGCATAGTAGTTGAGCGTTTATATCTTTTAATTCATAACAGGGCTCTGAAGTACAAACTACTGCTCTCATTTTACATATGAGAAAAGATAATTTGCTTAAAATCTCAGAAGGGGAGAATTTAAAGAATGCCAATATTAAGTGACTCAGCCAGGACTTCAAACTAACCAACTAACTATAAGATCCTTTATTCCTCCAGGATCCACATGAAAGTCTAACAATAAGAGATGAAAAGAAATATAAACAATAAAATCCAAACCTACATCTAATCCATGTTCCTTTCTACATAATTTGGGCTTTTGCTTTTTGTTGTTGGGGTCTATTTCTTTGGGGCTTGTTTGTTTGCCTTTGATCAGGTAGAGGCCCTTTAAAATAGATTTTAAGCATCACTGGCCAAAACTGCCTTCTTAGAGGGAGGCAGGATCTGCTATTCCTACCCCAGCTGCCATCAAACTGAAGAGAGCATCAAATGAAAGGTCAATGTGTTCCTTTAGCACCTTTTATGCAAAGAGGCTGATTCATTTTGATAATGTGAATGACAAGATTAAATGTGATGTTTTAGGAAAAGGATTCTGGCAACAGAAGGTACTAAAGATTGAAGGTGGAAAGGACTGGATTCAGGAAATGCAATTAGAATTGGATCTCAACTATTTACAATATCAACTGATGGGTGAATAAACAAAATGTGGTCTATTCACACAATGAAATATTATTTGGCAATAAAAGGAATAAAGTATTGATAGATGCTATAACATAGAAAACATTATGCCAAGTGACAAAAGCTAAACCAAAATACCACACAGTGTATGATTTCTTATATAAAATGTACAAAATAGGCAAGTCCACAGAGGAAAAAGGTAGCTTTTCAGGAGATGGAGAAGAATGAGGAGTGACTATTAATGGACGTGATGGCTAATTTTCTATGTCAACTTCCCTGGATCATGGGCACCCAACACACACACACACACACACACACACACACACACACACCTTGCAATCCAACTCACAGACTTATGGACTTCAGAATATCATTGACCAAACCTGGAAGAATCAGCTCATAGAGTTCTTCAAATGTGGAGAAAAATATGCCTTGCCTATAAGGCTTCAACAAGAGCTAAAAAAAAAAGAGCAGGAATATAAGGAAGAGTCTGGAGAATTGTTGGAAGAAAATAAGGGAAAAGGATAACGGAAACAGTTTCCTAATGTACCCATTCCTACCTAGACTTTAATCAGGCAGAGTCTCTTTGGGACACAGAGAAGTATCTATAATAATAAAAGCATAATATGCTAATTAGACCGGATGTCCTTTTGGATGACCTTCCGGATGAAGCCGGGGCTGCAAGGGAAGTCTGGGTCCCGGGTGCCAGAGGGAAGCCGGTGCCGGCAGCCAGGGGAAAGAAGGCCTACTCTTGCACTAATTTCGTTCATCGGGCCTCCAGTCTATATACATAAAAGCTTAAGCAACCGGCCAGTAACTACGATGCGCACTGACCACCAGGGGGCAGATGCTCGACGCAGGAGCTGCTGAGCTGCAGTCAGTTGGTGATTCTTGGGTGACACACCCAGAACCAGAGAGGAGGGAGCCAGATTCCAGGGGTGTCACCCAAGAACTGCCCTCTTGCAATCCGGGACCCCTTGGGGGATGTTGGAGAACTGGTTTCAGCCCGATCCCCACAGGCCAGGCCGAGGGACCCCACTGGTGCACGAATCCAGGCCTCTAGTATTAAATGAGAATAATGGCAGAAAGGTATGTGGGGTCTTCTCCTGGCTTCCACCTCTCATGAGAACTCTTGAAACAAAACACAGATTAGGCTGCCCTTCCATTTGCCTGGGGCACATACCCAAGCTGGTAGAGCAGCATGGTCAGGCAGACGGAGACTTTGAGAGTCATCAATCCTGAGCCACTTTTGGTATCTTATGGCATAAACAAGACCCCGAAGTAACTGCAAGTCTGCAGAGGGGGTTCAGCTCTCAGTTTCAGAATTAGATCTGGGAATGAATGGGAGTCAGAGAAGGTTTCTGTGGGGTCAACAGTATCTGTGGGAGTGTAAATAAGGCTGAGTAATTCCAAACATGCCATGAGGGTTACAACGAAGTCCAAAGAGAAAGCAAGAGAAATAGAAAAGAATGACAGTTAACAAAGTCCACAGACCAGAGCAACTAACGCCAACAAAGAAAAGAGCAACCAGGTGGACTAGGCATATCATCCCAGAGACCAGAACAGACACAAAAAATGCCACTCAAAAATACCCTATTCTTCCCCCCTGGCATCAGGATGCTAAATTGTATCCCTCTCTCCATATACCTGGACACCACCTTCGGGAGAGTTGCAGTTATTATTGCTGTGTAACAGGCCCACCTACACGTAGCATGAGAAACAATGGCCATTTTTAGATTCTTTGGGTCAGGAATTTGGAAAAGGTACATCAAAGGCAGCATCTCTGCTCCACAGTGTCTGGGCTCTCAGCTAGGAAGTCCTGAATGCTGGGGGTAACTTAGGACCTACGCTGGAAACCTCTCTCATTCCAATTGGTAGTTGATGTTGGCTGTCTGCTGGGACCCCAGCTAGGGCCGTTGACTGGAACAACCTCACAGGTTCCCTCACATACATGCTTGGGCTTCTTCATGGCATGATAACTGGGTCTGAGAGTGAGGGTGGCACAAAGAGAACCAGGAGCTTTTTATCACCTGACCTCAGAAGTCACAAGCTTCACTCCCACCCTAGTCCCAGTTCACCCAATTGCAGGGGAGGTAATACAGATTCTGCCTCTCCGTTAAAATCACACTGCAAGGGCATGTGAGGTGGCAGGTATGTTGCAGCCATTTTGGGACAATAAAAACCTGCCACAGGGAGAAAAATAGGGAGTGTTGAGGTTCCCAAGGCTACCCTTAGATTCAATGACTTGCTAGGAGGACTCACAAGACTCAACATATAGTGGTACTAGGGGCTATGATTTATTGCAGCAAGTGGACACAAAGCAAAATGAGCAAAGGGAAAAGGCATGCAAACTGAAGTCCAGACGAAACCAGGTGCAAACTTCCAAGAGTCCTTTCCCAGTGAGTCACACAGGATGCACTTAATTACCCCAGCAATGAGTTGTGAAATGCTCTCTACTGGGGAAGCTCATTAGAAACTTAGTGGACAAAATTTTTGTGGGAGGCTGGTCACATAGGCACCCTCTGCCTTGATACCAAAATTCCAGACTTGCAGAAGGAAAGCAGGTGTTCAGCATAAACCATATTGTTTGCAGAGGCTAGGCACAGTGAGCCATTCTTAGGGAATCTTATCTGGAAAGCCAAGTTTCTAGATGCCAACCAAAGGCCAACCTTACAAGCAGGTTTTTTAACAGGTAGCAGTCTCAGTTCTGCTATATTCGTTCTTTACTACAAAGAGGGGATGGGAAAGGATCTCTAAGAGTTTTTCAAGGGATATTAAACACTTCTTGTAGGAACTATAATCAGGCTACTCTTTAAATGGATTGAAGAGTGTGTGTTTTCCCTCTGGTGGTGGGCTTGGGAAGAAGGGGAGTGATCAAGCACAACTTTTTCCTATGCATATGTGTGTTGCAGACAGTTGCTATATTTTCAACATCCTAACCTAATAATGAAATGTTTACTCAACATCAATTTAGTGGCAGTGGGAAGAAGTGTTTAGAAATTGTGTATAGAAACAGATTTTTGAAGTACCACAGAATCTGTTGGCTGGTCCGTTATTCTGGTGCTTCAGAGACCCTGAGTTCTGACAAAGTTCATTTGTGATAGAACCATCACTGCAAGCTTTCCTGAGCCCTTCAGGGAGACGAGGGTACCTGGGAACAGGTAGCTGAGCTGTGCAGAGCCAAACTGGAGGAGACATT